AAGGGAAACTTCAGACACCCTATAAAGTACATACATTCTTGATCAGCGTGAAATTCCGAGTTGATTTAGCCACGTCTGTCCGTCTGTCCAACCGTGTTGTGCACTCTTCTTGCCGCAAAAATGAAGATGTGGACTTTGAATTTAGTAGAAACATTGCAGGTTTCTCCACGCAGGTTGGTAGTGAAAATGGTCGAAATCGCTTGGAGCGGAAGCGTGCAGCAATGCTCCGTTTTTTTAAGCAAAAATTTTTCGATTCTTTTTTGTTACTCGAAAATTATAAAAATTAGAGAACTGAAATTTTGCATATTTGCTTTACGAAGCACTCTACTCCTTGCGTGCAAAATTGGAGAACATCTGTCATACCCACACAAAGTTACAAGTGATTAAATTTTATTTTTCTCAATTTTTTGAGGATTTATGCTTATTTATCAAAACCCATACAAGATCGAATGTCTAAAACGATTTACATATACACTCATCAAATGAAGATGGTAAACGCCGCGATTAGTTTTTTCCTAATAAGATCCGATAATCAGCGGTAGCGCTACCAAAAAAAAGAGCTTGGAGAGTAGAAAGCGAACAACACAGTGGTAAATATGCCAAAGTCGGCCTTCGTCGAATATAACTGCCTTAGTTGTTTATTTTGTGGTTACGTGTGCTTATTTGCGTTATATGTTTCCATTTAACCCTTTCGGTGCTATGCTGATTCCCTTTTTGATAATTTATTTAATTTCAATTTAACTAAAGAGTAAGAACACAACGTTTAACATACAAGTGTAAATATTGTGATACAATTATAGCAATTTTATGATTTATTATCGCAATTATATGCACATACATAATAACAAATTAAATAAAAACACTTTAATGCAAATAAGAAAGAAAAACAAAAAAAAAAAAGAAAAAAAAAAGAAGGAAAACATATATAATAAAAACGAAAGAAAAATAAAGAAACAAAACTCAGAGAAACGCCAACAAAGACAAAAACATATAATTTAATGCATTTTCGCTGTCAACAACGCCTTTTTTAAAGTAAGTAGCAAACAAACATGTTCACTTCTATGTACTTAAGTGTAGCAGCGAGTGTTTATATGTGTTTCGAGTCGAGTATTGTGAACGTGTGTACAAGCGTCGTCGGCTCTGGCGTGCTTGTTTATGACCCTCCAACCAAAACCGGTGTAAAAATGTTTTTTTTTTTTTTTCTTTTTGCTTTTTCTGTAATTTCCCGAATGCAATTTAAATTGTTGCGTTCTCTTGCATTTTGCTGATTTCAAGTAGTGTTGCACTAATTATGCGTAAATATTGGTTGTACAGTTTATGCACTGACAAGTTCATCTACATACCTAAGCATATATGCACGTGCAGCAAATGCAATCATTTCATACCCACCACAGGGGGTAAATTGCATTTGTCGAATGCTTTTAGCGCAAGGTGATACGCATCGACATGCTTATTAAGTATCGGTTTAGGCTTAGTAAAATTATTGTGAATATAAAGATGTCTATCCATCTATACGTTACGATTACGTAACCAAATCTTCAGCTACGAATAGCTTATTGTATTCGTCATATGGAAAGGTCATAAATTTATTGAAAATTCCTTGAGCAGAACATCTTCCACCAGCAGGTACATCATGCATCTGCTTATGGGAACAAATAATGCCAAGTTGTTCACTTTCCTGGCTAGAGAATGTCATCAATGTACATTGGTACTGTCTCCTACCTACGATGGCCATTGGCCATTTATAATGAAGTCATACCTACAATATGTCTCGTAAATGCTTTGTTTTCGTAGCCGCAGACGTATGGAATTCAGTGCTTCGTGACCCGAGAGGATGATATTTAGTCCAATTACGATGATGGACATGGGCTGTGTTTGAAGCTTCTTAGGTATGCGCATTTTGAACACTTCAGCTTCTTTGTTACACCTTCAACGTTGCAATTACGACATACAGAGATGACTCAATCAGTTTCATTATCGCGCTGCTCACGTGATTCACCGCCGATGTATAGTTCTTTCACATTTACACTGCCATATGTTTATCAAGTTTTGCTCTGCTTGCTTTAGGTAAGAAGTACGAAAAGTGAGGAGAGTGTGGAAAAAAAATAATCTGATGTTTACGTTTATGTTTTGAGCCTAATAAAGGAATAATAAAGGAAATTATATTCGACCGCAATCGAATATTTTGTACCCACCATCCCTATCAGCCGTATACCGTCGTGATGTCCGCGATATTTGATTGCACGTTGTGACAATACTTAATTTAGAATTAATGCACTTAACTTGCCGTGTTTTTCTTCCTCTCATTTGATACCTAACTACTGCTAAGAAAAGGCAAATCCTCCACGGTGTGGGCTCCACTATAATTATTTTAGAATTAACACATTTTGAGACTGATGGTATATTTTTCTCCATTCTCCATGTGAGGAACGTGTAAAATACATATTTTAATATTTATAACCTTGTGCAAGCTTGACCGGCTTTTCCCCTTTTTTGGACTACGAGATCACCCATAGAATATAAATGCAAATTTGTATCGTTGGATGTGTAGTGATATATCAGTAACAAGAAAAAAATGAAATTATTTTTATTTTTGGAAACAAATTTGGTCTCGGATTGTATTGGTATTGCCCCCTTCAATCGATTTCTTCTTACTTCAATACCGAACCGGGCGCTTGAACTTCCAACCTTTATGCCAAATTTGAAGCCAAGGAGTATGTTTACTACAGACCTCAGACAATCAAGTTAAAATTTGATTCGTATTAAAACTATGTATACTTTGCGGGCTCGCAGTAGATTCCTTCTGTGTGTTGCAAGCATTTGGACAAAATCAATATGCATTCATCCTGCGGAAAGTTTATCTTGAAAATTTATGCGTTTTTACATACATTCGAAGAATTCGAACTTCCTTCAATTTTGCTGGCAGCACTTCCGAAACACATCAGCGTTTTCTCTCGGCTGTGAAAATCGCTATCCACGCTCGTTCGGTTACGAAAAGAATTCATTAGGTGGCACAGTACGGTGGATGCTCAACCAAATCCTTTTTTTGAACGTTTAAATAGTCGTTCGTTAGAAGATAAGTGGCCTTGTCAAGGCGAAGTATAATTCGACGCCATTGGTTTTTTCTTGTTCAAGTAGTCATGTGCCATTCAGAACTGATCCGTCTATGTTTCTCTATGCTCTGTGCAACTTTGTGTTGCCAAGACTTAAAATATAAACAGTAACTTACGTAGATTGTTATCGTTTACTCAAAGTTTTCGCCGGTTGCTTCTAGATGTAAACTAAAAGTGAAACAATCATAACATAGTCGTACTGCTATCGATAAACTTATTAAAAGCAACAGCGTCATTGAAATGTATTTCGCTACAACAATAAACGAAATAAAAAAAAAAAAACATTTACTTCCCGGTTGATCTCATCAAACCTTCGACGTTGATGTTTTATCTCACTTTATCCTATCAAAGTTCCGACTTCACGTTTTCAAAATAATTTCCGCGAGGTCTCGTAAAGACTTTGACTATTCTACTCTAATAGAATATAAAATAGCAAATTTTTGCGATAGATTTTCATATGAATTTCCTTCAAAAAATAATAAAAAACATGTGAATCATTTAGTTGACAACGTTAGTGCATGTCATTAGGGAAACCCCTGTTCAAGCAAAGCTTTTTGACGTCAAATTTTTATCACACGTTGCTTAGATGTTGCTACGTATATATATATGAGTCAAACTAAAAATAATTGTTTACAAATACATACAATATGCTGGTCTAAAGTTCTGAGAACGTCTAAGGTTAATAAGAGATCATCTTGATTGAAATCATTGCCTAAGTAAAATGTAAACTTTTAAGCAAAAGCCGTTTGACCTTAAAGTAATACTTTGTTGAGCAAACTAAAAGAGAGCCCAGCCCGCCTCATTGACTCTTAAAGCTTTAGGATTTTCCCAAGTTCTTTTCGCAACGCCTAAATAAATAAAATTATAATAACTATTTTTTTTTTTTTTTTTTTTTTTGATTTATCTTCGCTTGCTCTGAGCTTTACATGAAGTAAGATAATCAATGTTATTGTCTCTGTTTTCCTACAACCAGTACTACACTGGGTGCACTCGTTGAACTTGAACGAACGTGGAAGTTATAAAAAAACTCTGCTGTTTACCGATTTCAAATGACTGCCCAGTCAGTATGCCAGGGACTTTAGAATAAATCTCATATTTTAGAAGCAGACCTAGTACGAGAAGTTTGCTACTGAAAAAGCCGATCGTTGCCCCACATTCACTCATTCACTTTGAGAGTTTCTGTTGGACCTGAACCACAAATAGTGGGATCCAATAGATTTGTTTTCCACTTTATAGAAACAGGGCATAAGCAGAAGAGATCTCAAGAAATATATTCTCAGCCAATGCAGCCATATTCGTCTGGCCGTCCGTTCTTATAAAAAGTACAAAAAGTTGAAGCTGGACTTACACTAAGCTGACGGTCTTGGGTTAAATTCGGAATATAAAGGCGATTCAATCACACGCCAGCTCATACTATCTGCCTACAGCCTTGGTATGACGTATAGATAATAGCAGATCTCATTCTAATATATAATGTAAATACGATCACTGTATTTACGAATTTCATGTAATACTGCAGTGAAATCTTAGGCGAGCTCTTGATATGAATGGGCGAAATATTGGAACTTACAGTTTATAGCAAACAATGAACCCAATCTTAATACCGCCATATGATAAAGATTAGCTGCGTGACACCTCCTTAATAGAAGCATTATGAAGAGTAGAACAAAACTTCCCACTTATTGTTTGCAAAGATATTCTAAACAACATTTCAACGATGCAAAAAATTGCAATAGTTAACGCGTAGAGGAAGAGCGGGATTGCGAAACGAGAGAGTCAGAAAAAGAGAGATTAAATAATGCAGTGTTTGAGAAGCTTCACTTCGGTTCTTAAAGAGAGGTAAATACTTATGCATTACAAAAGCATTTAAAAGGCAATTTTATAATACAGCGATCAGTTTACTAGACGAGCTTGACGGCGTAGAAAAAAACTTTTTTATTATAATCATTAAATAATGCAACGGAAAATTTGTAAGTATGACTGTATGTGAGTAACCTCAAGAAAAGTTGCAAATTATTTACCAAAATTGTTATTATTTTCGTTTTCAGTGTTGCTTTTTACGTTTTACAGCATTTGTTGCACAATAGGGCAATGTGATGTCAATAGACCAATTAATAGTCGTAATCCCCACCGCACGAACTTCCAACCAAGTTCCTATACATATCCCGATAACGACAATCCAATACCATTTGAGATAGCAAATGGTGCATCCGTACTACCATTACCCTCATCAGCGTCATCACCAGCTTCATCACAATCGTCGCTTACGAAACAGCTAAATAGGGTACCGTTTAGTACGAAATTATTTCAGATACTCTCACAGTGGGCATTGCAAGAGAATTTAGTTTTCTCACCGATATCTCTGAAAGCTCTCTTGTCTTTCGTTTATACAGTATCGAAAGGTAAATTGGCTGATGAGTTGCGTTCCATACTGAATGTTCCGCTTAATACAACACGTGTGGCTTGGAATTTTGAAAACTTATTAAATTCATTCGAAAACAACCAAGCGATTCGTTTAGTTATGGCCAACAATTTGTATTATGGTAAACAGTATGGCCCAATAGCAGATGAGATAGAGGATTTAGCTCGCAGTTCATTTGGGCTTGATTTGAACCGTTTGGATTTTTCTATGAACTATCAGGCTGCTAATGTCATAAACTCTTGGGTGGCAAAGAAAACGGAGGGGCTTATTCAAAACATTGTCGCCGGCAGCTCATTCAATGCGGAAACTAAAGCGGTTCTCATTAATGCGATTTACTTTAAGGGCGAATGGGAAATCGAATTTTCGGAAGATGACACGAAAAAAGAGAAGTTCTATAAACTTAATCAACAAGAGATTCTAGTTGATATGATGTGCGCTGAGGATATTTTCCGTTATGGTCATTTCGATGAACTCAAGGCCTCGGTCTTGGAATTACCCTATAAAGGTTCCGATATTACGATGTTAATATTACTGCCAGATCAAAGGAATGGTCTCCGTGATTTAGAGCAAAAACTTCATCAAGTCAATTTACATAATCTAACTGAACAACTTAAACGAGAAGAAGTCACTGTACGACTACCCAAGTTTAATATTGAGTACTCGCATAATATGATCAAACCCCTGCAACAAATGGGCTTAGTATCGCTATTCAATGAAGACTCAGAAATGAAAATTTTCAAGGATCAAAATACGCCCTTATTTGTCGATCAAATTCAGCATAAAGCATTTATTCGGGTCAATGAAGCAGGCACCGAAGCGGCGGCATCTTCTTGTAAGTGCATTATTCGTTCTTCCTCTCGTTTATAATTAAAGTTTATTTTATTTAATATTTTTTTTTTAGTTCTGAAAATTACACCACTATCGCTACCTGTACGCATGGTTCACTTTGCAGCCGATCACCCATTTGTGTTTGTAATAATTAATAGCAATGTCATCTTCTTCATGGGACATGTTGTGGAACCTTAAAATCATTTCAAATTGAACTAACTCTCTTAGAGGAAATTTTTTAAATAAATTCGTTTCGGTTTCACGACAAGCATCAAAAGTAACACAAAAATATGTACTGGTTTATTTACTTGCCCAGCGTTAGGTGAAAAATGTTTTTTTTTTTTTTTTTTTTTTAAGGAAAGAACTTCTCGCTACAATTGCTAAAGATGTAAAATATTGAAAAGAAGAGTAATAATTCCCTTGCATGAGTCCAAAAACCCAGAACAACTTTCAAAGTCTCGTAACTCACCTACGATCCGAAGAAGATATTCTTGTAAATTTGTTACGTAAGAATATTTATTGGACTCCTTTAAAAGTTGAAAGCAAAAACAAAAAAAAGTTGAGTGAGGTCCAGTTAATTTATTCACATATTTAAAATGAATGGCTAACATTACCGCGCATTTTCATATATACAGCCATTGACACTTAAATAGCGCACAGCGCCGTTAGAACTACACAGAAAAAATCAAAAAGAAAGAAACGCACAAAACTTGCTTCTCCTTTAAAATTTACTTGAAAAACAAATGTCGCTGTATAAAAAATTCCAAAGCTAGGGACATGGAAAGGATGCAAAATTTTCAACTTGAAGAAGGTTGAAGAAAAGCTTGGAAAAAAGGAAAGGAGAGTTATTCTGTATAGTAAAATACTTTCTTTGTAATGGCGCTAAGCAATGTTGTCCAAAAAGAACAAAATCGTACAAATAAAAAATTTGTTTTAAATTTGTGCTCTTCATACACCACTGGTTGTGACTAGTCTTGCTTACTTAGATCAAATTGAATGATATTTGATCCTGCCTGTCGTTGTGCTTTATCACCTTATTTGTGTAATTACAAGAGTATGATTTAACAGAAACAGGTTTTTTGTATTTTCTAATTACATTTGATATACACTTCGTCGGTCAATAAGTCCCGGTACTAAGTAAACACACAGGCTTGGTCTTTGTTCATTAACGCACTTTCCTTTAAGTGTGATACGATAAAATTCAAGATTTCTCCAAAATTTCTTACGGAACACTCTGACGGAACACACCGTCAAAGCCTTCGAAGTAACCTTAACTTTCCGCTATGAGCTCATCTTTTGATGTAAATTTTTTTTACTTTTTTCTCGTTTTGAAAATCGCTAGTAAACAGATAAGACTCTCTGACGGCCAAATTTGGACAATAGGCTGGCTACGGTAGCACTTTGAAATTCAATTTACGTAGTTTTGCCGATATCTACGTGGCGGTCTCGGGAATTATTGATCGATACATTATACGGCATGTATTATGTATTACGTGAGACTTGTTGCGGTTTGCTAGAATTTTTTGTTTACAAATACAAATCACTTTACATTTCTTCGAATTTCGCATGCTAGTATCGTTTCACTCAGAATTTCGTGGAACCGCTTTTTAAAATAGACAAGCCAATCTTATCTAGGAAATAATTAAAGTTAAACTTAAAGTACTACAATTTTGAGTGTATAATTTGGCAAAAACACAAATGATCATATTTTCGCTAACAACTCTGGATCGATCTGATTGACTTTTAAAAGAAAATTCGATGGCAATTGTTGTAATTGATCGGTTGCTCAGAGGTATAGATTAAGCCTGATCATCCCTATTCGAATGTAAAGTCTTACATTACTTGTGGTGCATAGGTATATTAAGTTTGTGCGGATGTATGCAACGTTTAGAAGGACTTGAGATAGATCCATGTTTTATTATACTGTTTGTCTGTCCGTCCGCCCGTCCGCCCGTCTTATATACTCACGTTCAACCTATAGGCCGCAATGTTTGAGATATTTGAACGAAATTTGGCACTCTAACGTGTTTTGGCTCGTGGACGAATGCTTTTTAAAATGATTTGAATCGAAGCGACTTTTAACCGCGTCCCATATAAGGCCTTATTTTGAACAGTTGCTTTATGTGTAGCTGTAGCGTGATGTGGTATTTAGTGGCGGGCCGTGCCCCACTATAGTGCATTTACTTGTTATAAGGAGCAGCGTAGTCCAGTTCTACTTATATTTAATGGCTATCACCACAAAAAAACATCTAAAAATAATTTCAATACCTTTTAAAGAAAATTCAGAAACTCGGTCTTAGGCTTCTTCTCACTTGCTAAGTAAAATACTCACCAAGTTTATTTTACTTGTAGGAATAATTGTTTCTGTTTTAATACTCTCTCTGCATGTTGTGTAATAAAAGCGTAGCTGCAAATGTCTTACAACCTTATATGAGAGTTCTGATATAACCAAAAACTCTTTGCGTTAATTATGATAAAGAATTTGTAAATCAAACTGCAACAAACAGTAATTAGCGGACAAGTTGTTTATGGCTTGAGTATTTAAATTGAAAAACAACTTATAAGCTTCGCAGTGGTTAACTTTATGGGTTTTTCGATTTGTTTAACTCTAACAAAGAAGAAAAATGACGTAAACTCTGTTGACACACTACAGCTGACATAAGAGTTATTAGATATATGAAAATTGCCTTTGAAGAGGTAAAAGGAAAAGGAAAAGTTGATGTAAGTATTTAAACAAATCGTTTTAATTTTGAACACATTGGAATTCGTGTCTACCATTCGACGTGACCCAATTTTATCGAAATCCTGTTTTAAAAAAATGGATTAGTATTTAAAATGAGAACCGGTTAAGAGATAAATGTATTACATAAGCGATATCGTTGAACATGTAGGATTTTTGTCATAAATAAAAATCGCAATAAATCTTTTTTTAAGAAAGAAAAAAGAACGAAGCAATCATATATTTGTTAGCAAAGTTATTACTTTCAGTGCAAATTCTTATATATATATATATATATATATATATATTTACATATATATAGATAGAAGGTGCCTGTAGCAATATTCAACTACCGTGATTGTAGCAGACAGTTACAGGAAAAACTTCCCATGGCGCGCTGTTGATATTGCGGATAAGCAAGAACAACAACTCAACTGTAAAGTCAAGTGCACTTCATGTCTATAAGTAGTGAGCCTGCATTAACAATCTTTACTTAGAGAACAGGTCTACATTAATTTAAAACGCATTAAACTGCTAGGCCTTTTTAAAATAAATATTGAAATTTTCACAAGAAAGGTATTCAAACGTCTAATTTTATAGCATTGCGTGGCTGTTATCAGAAATTTAGATTGACAGGAATTAGTTTACAAATTCAATCACTTGTTCAATGCAAATAGATATGCCTACATAAGGTGGCACACTTTGGTGGATACAGAGTTTGTATATTTCAAGAAGAAGCGTGCAAAAAAAGATATTGCATGATAATGTGGATTGATTTGTCGATTCTTTGAATTTGATTTCTGCATTGCGGTTTAATATATGCGAACATCCTTCAAATTTAAATCAATGCATTTTTTTGCTCATGTTGAATTGTATAAAATCGTGTAAAAAGAATTACAATAGGCAAACAGTAACATCGACTTGATTGATTTGTGCACTTGAAGTAGAAAATTTTTATAAAGAAAGTTCAATAAGTTTTCAAAGTGGTTATCCAAACTGTAAAGTAAAACCACGCACTACTTACATTAGAAGAACGCACGCATCTACCCGCGTTTATATGGATAGCGAAGAGGTTTCGCTTTACAGTCAATATTACTGGTTCCTCGGACATTAGCCATTAGACATCATCGTCTCGGAACAAAGCTAGTCGAATATAAAGAGCAAGTTGTTCGTATCATTATATGAAAAATTATCTATTCTCGTTTGTAGAGTGTCTTGGCGTTTGCTTGACAGATTTTGTAGGACACCATGTATTCATGGTTAAACTGCGCGTCACACACAACTTAAATAAGAGGTAAAAAAGTAAGTCAAACTGGTGTAGAAGGATAACATTATATATTCTATGCTTCGGTAAAAGACAAGAATGCTACTTGCTCCTTTCGTGAATGCAATCATCGTTGTGGCAAAATGCTTTTAGCGCACTTTGCTCGGCCATGGTAATCCTAGTTACGTATTGATCCTACGCCCTAATCCAACATGATGTAGCTATAATTATTGAGTGCATTCAGCTTTTATGTAAAGCTGTGACGTAGTAATCTGGCTTGCCTCTCGATCTCCTGACCTAAGGGCGACGGAAGAGCTTCTAATTGAAAAAGAAACTAATCACTGAAGACGTGACGATACCAAATCAAGACTTTAGAATACCAACGGAAATGGTGCCGCTGTTCGCACGGCAGATGGAGGTAAGCATTTGAAAGAAACGGGATAAATAATGAATCTCCAAATAGCTTAATGAAGTTGGATTTTATATTAGACAACTGTTAAGAGGACAAGCTTATCTATGCAAGTTGAAGGCAGGAAACTCTTGCAAATTTTTCAGAAATTCAAATTTTTTCTTAGTACTCAGTACAGTATGTCCTTGAAACTCTATCGAATCTTATTATTTTGTTACCTTCCTACTCATTCCAAATAAATTGTTAAAGAATCACTCGGAGCTATTACAGTACATTTTACACTTGCAGAGAGAGACCCCGCTTAAGGAGAAAAATGTCTTTCTCGCTGCTTTCTTACGTAGTAAAACCACAAACTAAGACTATTAAGAGCGAATAAAGTGCGACCTCTTCCTGATAATCATCTATCTAATAAAACGTCCCGCCAAAGCAATCGAGGAATGCATGAATGAAGTGACTTGCCACTGTTAATATTTGAGAATGAAATGTCAGAAGTTTAGTAATCTTCAAATTGTTGATATTTTATGTAGAAAGCACAGGTCAAAAGATGTTAGTTCTAGATTTGTAGATTCCACTTCTCCCACGAACTTAAAGAAAAAAAATTATATGTGTGTTTCGCATTTTCCCGAGTAATGGAAGTTCTCAGTAGAAACTAAAAACTTGGTTTCATTTAAACATTTTCCTAATAAATTATAAATAAATTAATTAATAAAATGTTTACTGTTTTGTTCAACTAAATCTTATCTACTACTAGTTAGGCGAACACATGTAGAACAAGTGAGGTCAAGAAGATGTCAATGCATTTAAATATATAATAAATACACTGCGAAAAAAAGAGTACTTTATCTGCTGCAACTTCTACGATCGATGTGACGACGAATAGAACGCGTAAGGCAAAAGCTCTGGCTTGCTTCTCATATTATGGATTGAATTTATTTATTTTTATTTTTATTTTTGTTTGCATTTTACTTTAAAAAATTATTTAAATATTTTCTTGACTTTCGCTTTCAGTGATTTAAGCTTAGTGTATTTTTTGTTTTTTTTTTTTTTGTTTTTTCTTTTCTTGTTTAATTAAGAGCGTGACATTAATTTGCATACAATAAAATAATTCAGTTAAAAAGTCAAATTTTTTCTCACAGTGCGCTCTTTTCTTTTCCTTTTTTTCTTTTTTCCTAAAGAATATGAAAATTGAGACGTAAAATATACAAACCAAACTCTTGAACTGCTTTCAGTATTGAGTTGAATTTCAAAGAATATAAAAGCAGCGACGATCTTAAAGAACTTGCAGTCAAAATTTAACCAATTAATTCCAAAGGATCGATCGAACATGAAATCATTATTACGTTCGTTGCAGTTTTTTTTGTTTTGTTTTTGTAAAAAGTTGAACACGATTTAATATATTTTTTTTTTTAATTTTAGTTGTTTTCGCGGTGTTTAGTGAATTTTCACAAGGCAAGGTGCTGAGCAATACGGTGCAAAGTATTGCGCGCAATATATTTGCTGCCGATTTTTATAACGCTGTTGCAAGCGACAAATGGACTGAGAATGTTGTTGTCGCCCCGGCCGCAGTGCAGACTTCAATGGCTTTAGCTTATTATGGTGCCAAAGGGAAGACAGCAACCGAAATAGAAACTGGTTTACGTTTAGGTTCCAATAATGCCGAAGATGTGGCTCAACGCTTTGGCGAATTCCAGCAAAGTTTTACGCGTGACAATTACATACGTTTATCGAATCATGTCTATATCAATGAAAATCTCGAATTTAAGGGTAAATTTAGAGACATCGCTCAACGGAACTTCGATTCCAATATTGAGAAGGCCGATTTTCATCCGCCATATAATAAACGCACTGCGGAACGTATAAGTAAGGTTGTGGAAACGAAAACCAATGGAAAAATCACTGATATCTTAAAATCGCAACAACTCGATGATCTCACTGAGGGCGTCATTGTTAATGCCCTTAGCTTTAGTGCGCCCTGGCAGAAAGCTTTTCGCGCTGATAAAACCGCAAAACGTGATTTCAGCGATGGAAATAATCGACAAACTTTCAAAGTCGACACCATGTGGTCGCTTAACAATTACAAGTATGGTGAATTTAGTAACTTGGATGCAACAGCTGTTGAGTTGCCCTACCAGAATGCTGACTATTCCATGGTTGTTATTTTACCAAATCGCTCAAACGGTTTGCGCAACTTGATACAAAGCTTGTCTGGCAAGAATTTGGTAACGTTGTTGGAGGCCGGAATGACTATGCAAAAGGTTGAAATATATTTGCCGAAATTTAGTGTATCGTTTGGTATAAATCTGCAGGAACCTTTTCGAAAGGTAAATAAATAATCGTTAATGTGTGCTGCTGTTGTGTACGAATTGAAAATAAATTAAAATTTTTGTTGTTTTTTGTTTTTGCTTTGTGCGCACAATATTTATTTTTTCACAGCTGGGCATCACTACGATGTTTACACGCGACGGTGACTTTGGTAACATGTATCGCATGTTCGTCAGCCACTACATTAACAGTGCCAATCATAAAGCCTATGTTGAGGTCACTGAGGACGGCACCGAGCAATCACTGCAATCAGGTGGTGCGTACAAACATATTTTTAAATAAAACGTAACATATATGACTTTGTTTAATATTTAAATTTATTACTTGCAGGACTTAAAAACATTTTCTCAGGCACTAAAAAATTCGATGCCAATCATCCGTTTGTCTTTGCCATTAAACATAAAGATTCCATTATACTTATGGGACATATCGCGAATAATGTTTATGTATAATCAACACTGGTCATACGAATGACTTCTTTCTATCTTATCATACATTCTTTAAGGCCTTTGAAAAAAAGGAATTCGAAGGACAGCTTAGAGACAGATTAGCAAGTAAAGGTGAAAAGCAATAATTTATAAAAATAAATATGAAAATAATAATAAAAAAATTCGTATAAATAACAAAATACATTTTTTTGTTCGATAAACTCAATAATTCTTAATGCGATTACATTGTATATAAATAAGTCTTTACCGATTATTCTAAGAAAGGACATGATATTGGCTTTCGTCAACAATGATATTTGTGGCATTTATTATCAGACTTGAAAAGCATGCATGGAATGCATAGACACAGAACCGTTATATGCATATTCACTATTGCAGATAAATGAATTCGTGCCTAATAATGAACTTATGTGATTTTTCTCGCTTAACGCGAAAAATAATGCTATTGAATCAAGGCGCGTTACGAAAGTGTAGCTAATCCCGATGCAGACTAGGTTTGCGTTAAGTTTTGCTCGGAAAAATTTTTTATGCAATGATTTGGCCGCAGTGCTCTTTTTACAAGCATTGTTCTTACAGTCATTCAAAATCTCATAAAAAATTTTTCCGAACGAAACTCAATAAACCTTGAACGTCAATGGAAATGTTGTTGATCGACGAGGTAGAGTACGATGCAAACAATGCTCTGCACTCTTCTTGTCTTCAGAGTAGAAAAGTACGTTAGTTTCTTTTAAAGTTCTCTGAAATCTTGACGCTTTTCTGTTTTACCAGAAGACTTAATTCATAACATGGGTATTTGTAGTTTCCATAGGTAACCTTCCACTTTTTTTATATATATAGTGTTTTTTTTTTCATTCGAAGAGTTAAGACAATTCGGATCAATTTGAGGAACCGATCACCTCTAGATCACACGAAAAGTTTGGTAATGAGAAAGTCAATTACTGAGTTCACGATCGCAACTTATTAGTTTAAAAGCCTGCTTACGGGCATTTCCATGTATGAGAGATCAGTTCATTACAGCTTTTTAGATATTGTGAATGTTTTCTTTTTAAACCATTAGTTCAGTTGCCACTGTTTGGTATATTTACTAATACTGTGATTATAGTCGACCGCAGAAACTCTCAACACGTTATAGTCAGCTGGTCTATCCATGTATGCGGCAACTACTTAAAGAAAGGAATGGAGACTTGATTTCTCTATCAGTTGGATGACAATGGCAATATAGTACCAATCTTGCGGCGCTAAAAATTGTGCTAAAAACTCCTCTTCTTATTTCTAGTTAGGATTACAGCGTTTCAAAATACAGGCTGCTCGACCTCGTGTTCCCTTGTGCAAGCTAGAATATGGATTTAATTTTTAAGGGCTTTTCTCTCCCAGTGATTTAAAGCAAATGCTTTTCATACGCTACGCTACTTGTACTACAAAGGTATATTAAGTGTACGCAACACCCGGAAGGCTTTGAGATAAACCCATCTTCTATTATACCGATCTGCTATATTTAGTAATGCTTCACAACGAAGGAAGTGTTGGCTACCCTAGTGTATTAAAGAAGCCGTTCACAACCTGTAAATTTCTTCCTTATATTTAATGTAATTTTCTTTAATAATCAATCTTAAGGCAATACGTAACAACAATTTTTATGACCATTGCGGAATAAAGGCGTTGTTTTTTTTAAAGAAAGGAAAAGATAGATAGAGAGTAAAATGTATATGTGTATATATATGCAAAAATGTATCTACATATATATTTTCTGTTTGAATCTTTTATTGTATTGTAGAAGCCTATATTACTCTATGACTCATCCTGGCACAATTCTCCCTCGTGTTATATGACCCTTTGTTAGAGAGCGATCTAGCGTGTTTGATTGCTAGAAGAAACGAAAAATACTTTCGCTTCATGTATCACATCGTATATCGTATACGTTTGAATAATTTGACAACTTGACAGCACAACCAAAGTTGTTTGATATTTACTTACTCTGCCCTTATAGTACATGATTTTCTTAGTAAATATCTACTTTGACACTAGGGTTTAATATGGAATAACTTGAAGATAAACACACGGTCATAATTTAACCTTAAGAAAATGACCACATTTTCGATCGAGAAGCAGAGGGTTTTTAATTTTGAAATCGCAATCCTGATTTCAACATATGAAGATGCAGCAAGCAGAAGGACAAATGAGTATGTTATTCACTCTGATGTATTATAAATATTTAACCAATACGGGGCAATGCATTGCAACGATCTAGGATCGCTACTAGAGATTATAAACAATGTTCTTCGTCTCTTCAAACTCTTGAACTATTTTGCTAATTTCATACGATTACTTTGTGAATGTGTGCACGTAAGCGTGTGTTAGAACTACTACTGCTGGGGAGTTAATTTCTTTTGTATTCTACTTCCTATTTTATACCAAGTCGTTTTTATACCTAACACCGAAGGATGAGGGGTATGTTGACCAAAAGCGTTGAAACGCCCAAAAAGAAACTGCAGAGACCCTAAAAAATATATGTATTCGTGATTAGCATCAAATTCTGATTCGATTTACCGACTTCAAGTTTGCCAGCAACATTGAAAGTTCTTGCAGGCTAGAATTTGATATGGACCAAATCGGTCGAAGGACACGCCTACGGTTCTACATTAAGTGAGAACACTTCTGTCGTTCAAATGGGATACAAGATTAGTTTTTTTGTCCATTACTCGTAAATACTACAGCAGACCAATGTACAAAAATTTGAATGTATACTCTGTGAGCGATACTGTACTATCTCTACAAAAATGAAATAAGTCGGCCACGCCTACTCAGTTTTACAGAGTATGAAGGTGTAGTTGCTTTCCTCTTTTTAGGATCGTTGTGATGGGTATAAATGATTCGGTCGCGACCGAATGTAATTTTCTTGCTTGTTGCGATTTGTAAGTTAATAATTTTTAGTTTTTATACGTACCAACTAGATTTAGGAACTCTGGATTTTTATTACTATGTAATGTGTGTTTATATTTTGGTCTACACGGCTTCGTTCTACTAAAATGAATATATAAATAAGAAAAAAAAAAAAGAAATACAAACGACTACAAACTAATTGCCTCTTTTCATGTCTGCTCCTACTTATCGGTATGATGTTCTAATAAATACGACGAACGCCGCATTGACGCTAAGTTTTAATAACGAAAAAACTAAATGTAAGATAGCGGCTGAAGGGCATTAAAATAGGTTTACCTGACAGACTAGACTGCTTATACCTTGCCGCGAATACATTCAAAGTTGTAAGGCAAGCGTAAACGTAATATGAAATGAGAAATAATAATTAAACTGAATGCGTAATAACTAACTCGCTCAGAGGCGATTACAACCTGGATGATAATAAAAATATATAAACACAAATATCCTGGCCTTTTACATAAAATATTTATTTCATTGCTTCGCTTAACCTATATGCATTTACATCATCCAACGCTCATAAGCATAAATATATGAATATATATATGACTTAAAATATTTAGTTTAGAATAAAACAAGCGAGAAAATTATATTCGGCTGCGACCGAATCTTGTGTACTCATCATCGTTATCCTAAAAAAGGCTAAATACAAATATTTATCTTTCTATTTGTTGTGCTTCATAAGCAACGATCAAAAAGGCGAAATTTTTCTTATTTTTGAAAACGGAGATGGTGCCAAGCTATGTCATATGTGGGCTATGTGGGCGTATCCCTTAAGCGATTTCGCTCAATTTCGACACCAATCAGTGCACAATAAATTCCAATGTTTCTGCCAAGTTTGAAGCAGATAGCTTTTTTTTAACGATCAGCAGAATGATTGTCACAGACAGACAGACAGACAGACAGACGAACATGCTTAACTTGATTTAGTATTTGATGCTGACCAAGAATAAATATATTTTATGGATTTATGAATATTCCTCGTGGGTGTTGCAAACCCTGTTCATAAAATGAATAACTCCATCATCCTTGATATATGGGAATAAAAATATATGCTTAACTAAAAGGTTTTCCAAAAAAAAAAAATTAAAAAAAATTTAATAATTAAGGCCGGATTTTGTAAACCGGCACTTATACAGCAGGAAATATTTTTCGTATTACAAGTTTAACGAATCATATTAGAAAATATGCAAATCAAAAGCAGCCGAACGTAGGCTTAAGTGTTTTAAATTTTAAATTTAAGATTTTTTCTAGTCAACAGCATGACGTACGAAGGTTATTAGCTTCAGTCAATCATTAATTTATATTAAAAAAAATTAATTGTTTGTAAAAGTGTTTAAAGGGGGAAAAAATTCTAGATGACTATTATTAGGCAAAGAATATATTCGAAGAAAGGCAATCATTGCTTTGCTTTGCAACAGTTTATCGAATATTTCTGAGATCATTATATAGTTTCTGAAAAAAAAGAAGATTATTAATTATGTACACGGAAAATGAAAGGTTTGACTGAATTAATATTTAATCTCCTATTTTAAAGTTTCTGCCGTAGGCAAGAAATTAAATGGAAGCGAACGAAACGCTTGTGCAGTTGAAATGCGTATAGATATTAACCTACGGTTGGAAATTGATTTCATTCGTTAGAAGCTCGCAGTACGATTTAACCATCAAGTTGTCTAATATTATAACTAGAACAAGGAGTTTAGTTGTAATCGAATTAAGGAGACCCTACAAAGGGAGAAACTCTTGATGTATGCACTCTTTGCTTAGGCGAAATTTTATGATAGGTAAGACTCTGCAAAGGGGCTAAATGTAGTCTATCGCTTCACTTCCGATGCCTTTTTATTATTTCTGTTCTTTTTCTATAAAAAAAAAAAAAAACAGAAGGAAGAAAAAGGTAATGGAGGGAGCAAAGTAGAGGCTGAGACCGTGGCCAACATGAAGATGGAGTGTTACTTCTCAAGGCTTATTCGCCTTATGTATAGGACAAACAAACAAAACAAAATTTTGATATTTCGTATGAGGGAATCTCTGCGTTGAAGATATTTTGTATTTTGCACATTAAAGGGAAAGACAACCGTAACAACCTAAAAAATGGTTTTTGTGTGGGAAGTGTTCGGAAAAGTAGTCCGATCCAAACCATTTTCAATAGCTTTCATCGTTGGCCAAAAACACGTCAGTCTACAAAATTTTATCAAAATATCTCAAATGTTTGCAGTCTCCAGGCACATTTCACTCACTCTATAGGCTTTAATGTATTCT